AAATAATAAAGAATGTACTGGTGAAGATTATGAACATGCAAAAGTAGTGTGGGATACATTTAATTGTACAACTTTATAAGATCATAAAAAGTTATATTACAAAATTGATGTGCTCTTTTTAAAGGATGTATTTTAGAATTTTAGCAAGGTATGTAAAAATATTTATAATTTAGACACTACACGTGGTCCCTCCTGAGAGAGTATATAAACGAAACAAGTGCAATGGAGAAACATAAAATGGAGTGCGAAAAAATTGTTACACATATACCGACTACTCAAAATAGTAATCTAAAATTTATGTCATCTGGACATACCGTTCGTAATATATGCAGATTTTGAATGTATAAGTATTAGGGAATATACAAATAAATGTAAGTGGAAAAACTACAAATTTATCCAGAAGCATATTCCATGTGCTTCTAGTTACTATATAAAATGTAGACATAATGATAACTTAAATAAGTTTTGAAATTTATAGTGTACGTCAAATTTATAATTGTTGGGATATTTTTTAAAAATTATTTGAAAAATATTATTTCTAAGGCCCCTTTGACAGGTGAGAAAAAAGAAAATTTTAAAAAGGCAATAAAATTTAGCAAAGTGAGGTGAGTTAGAGGAGCTGCTTAAAAAAGCTGTAATTTGAATTTTCAAGTTGCTAAATTTATTCCAATTTATATATATAATAATTAATCATCACATGATTTATATCTTTTCGTAAAAGAACTAGGAAAATATATTTCCAAAATAAAAGTTCTTCCCCTAAACAAAGACCTATATATCAACATTTTCTGAAATGGATGAAAATCAATATCTAGAACTTAAGTTTTTAGATACAATGCGTTTTATGGCAGATAGTTTAGAATCATCATAACCGTAAAAACAACTGAAAGAGGATTTCTTCTCATGGAGTTTTTCCATATGATTATTTAAATTCTTTTGAAAAACTTAATTGTACTTATCATCCATCTAGAAATGAATTCTTTAGTAAACTAAATAATAAAGAATGTACTGGTGAAGATTATGAACATAGTAGTGTGGGATACATTTAATTGTACAACTTTATAAGATCATAAAAAGTTATATTAAAAAATTGATGTGCTCTTTTTAAAGGATGTATTTTAGAATTTTAGCAAGGTATGTAAAAATATTTATAATTTAGACACTACACGTGGTCCCTCCTGAGAGAGTTTACAAACGAAACAAGTACAATGGAGAAACATAAAATGGAGTGCGAAAAAATTGTTACACATATACCGACTACTCAAAATAGTAACCTAAAATTTAAAAATTACCAATGTCATCTGGACATACCGTTCGTAATATATGCAGATTTTGAATGTATAAGTATTAGGGAATATACAAATAAATGTAAGTGGAAAAACTACAAATTTATCCAGAAGCATATTCCATGTGCTTCTAGTTACTATATAAAATGTAGACATAATGATAACTTAAATAAGTTTTAAAATTTATAATTGTTGGGATATTTTTTAAAAATTATTTGAAAAATATTATTTCTAATGCCCCTTTGACTGGTGAGAAAAAAGAAAATTTTAAAAAGGCAATAAAATTTAGCAAAGTGAGGTGAGTTAGAGGAACTGCTTAAAAAAGCTGTAATTTGAATTTTCAAGTTGCTAAATTTATTCCAATTTATATATATAATAACTAATCATCACATGATTCATATCTTTTGGTAAAAGAACTAGGAAAATATATTTCCAAAATAAAAGTTCTTCCCCTAAACAAAGACCTATATATCAAAATTTTCTAAAATGGATGAAAATCAATATCTAGAACTTAGGTTTTTAGATACAATGCGCTTTATGGCAGATAGTTTAGAATCATTTTAACCTTAAAAACAACTGAAAGAGGATTTCTTCGTATGGAGCTTTTCCATATGATTATTTAAATTCTTTTGAAAAACTTAATTGTACTTATCTTCCATCTAGAAATGAATTCTTTAGTAAACTAAATAATAAAGAATGTACTGGTGAAGATTATGAACATGCAAAAGTAGTGTGAGATACATTTAATTGTATAACTTTACAAGATCAGAAAAAGTTATATTTAAAAAAACATATGCTCCTTTTAGTGGATGAATTTAAGAATTTTCGCAAGGTTTGTAAAAATATTTATAATTTAGACCCATGTCAATACTATAGTAGAACTGGTCTCTTCTGAGATGCTATGCTTAAATATAAAGATTTAAAGTTGGAGTTGCTTACTGATATAGATATGTAAAATTTAAAAAGAAATATATTTGTGTTTTTACAAATATGTAAAGAGGTATTCAAAGGCTAATAATAAATATTAAGACGACTTTGATAACAGTAATGTTTAGACTTACGACATCACAGCGCAAGAGATCCTTAAACAAAGGTATGATAATCGTAGATTGCTGTAAACTAATCAAGTTGACATATTGCTGGATCAACCAATAGTAGATAGATAGCAGATAAATTCAAAATTAATTAATAATTTTGGACGTTATAAACAACATGTAAAGAAATCCAAAGAAATTAAAAATCTAGAAAATGTAATTGAGTTTCTGGAACAACAGGTTCATGTTCAAGAAGCAGTTACAAAGGAGCAGATAAAAAATTATTTTAAAATCATTTTGCTTAAAGCTAAATTCATGTCCATGCAAGAGGAGAAGGAATAAAACAAAATAAGAAGAAGTGACGTCCAGGAAGAATGTTTATCTGCCATTAAAGCAGAAACACATTCTACTACTCGGACTCAATAATGGTTCTAGCTCTAATGGAGATATGGAAGATTGGTGCTCATTTAACAACATGTTTAATCGATTTGTGCATATGAGTAAACTTTCAGCTTATGGAGAAGCTAGTAAGATTCAAAACTCATGTCAGAGGAGAAAACCTGAAAATTATTCAAAACCTTCCAATAATGGAGAATAATTATGAAGCTGCCGGGAAGATTTTAAACAAAAGTTTTAAAATTTGTAGATAACATTATACATCAGCCTATTACTAAAATCATGTCAGTGAACAGCTTACGAAATTTGTTCAATATTACAAACGAAAGTATTCAGTTAGCCCTCAACCTATCACCATAGAGGAGTATAAAAAGAGGACAACAAAACGAAAGGAATAGGACGAGCGAGATAAGCGAATAGGAGGGTAAGATAGGTTTATTTTTATTAATAAATTTAGTATTTAACAAGAATTGGACGAGTGCCTTACAACCAATCGCGGTCTCATTAATATTTATAAGTAATTTGTATATTTTTATTTAAATAATACATTTGGTCCTTCGAGCCGAACCAGCGCCGTGGCCAAGTTCACGTTTGGTATAAAAAAGCAAATTAAAAAAATCTCGGCTTAGACAGAGAGCACGAGAGTTAGAAAGAGCTCTACGAGAGCTAGAAACGGCTTCAAAAAGGCCAAAAGCCGTTCCAAGAGAACCAATAAAAGCTCCAAAAGAAAGCTAAAGATCCACGAGAAATTACTTCAAGAGAGCAAGATACAGAAGGCCAAAAGCGTTCTAAGAGAACCAATAAAGGCTCTTAGAAAGCTAAAGATGCTCCAAGAGAGGAAGACGCCGAAGTTGATCAAATAATATGCTTCCAATTATGCGAATATTGGTATTGAAATAATGTCCAAAATTTGTATCTCTTTCACATGAGAGAAAATTTTGGGAGAAAGATTAACTATAGAATAGTACAAAAGAAGGCAAGGAAGGTTAAATGAGGATAAACTAACAGCGATACCGAAAATAGATACTAAAATAAAAAAAAAGAGGTGGACGACTGGTTAAATTGAGAAGAAAATTAGCATAGAATTTAAGAATTGTCAAAGACGAGCAAAACCCAATCCAATGGGAAAAAGCTCAAGAAATTTGGATTGAAATAGAAAAGCTAAAAGAGGAAATAAAAAATGGGAAGACCTCAAAGCAAAGAGGTAACAGTAGAAGAAAATATCATTAATAGTAATAGCCAGATAGACAATAAAGAAGAAATTGACAAATAATTATAATAATTGTAGTTGCAATTATTGTATTTATCATATACAAAATTAACAAATATTTCAAGGATTATGTCCGGAAAAGGGTGGCTGGTATTAATAATAACCCTGTTAATAGTAGTGCTATAACAGAGGTATAAAAATAATTTTATATAGAAAAAAATAAGATAAAAATTATAAATGGAGGAATTTGTAAACAAATTAAGAAAACTGGTATAGACAAGAAAAACGCGATAATTATGGCGAAAATGGAAATTAACGAATTGACACGCGGTAATTAAGTTAGTCCCAATTTTCTCGGGAAAGAAGGATGAATTGACAAATTTCGTCAAGAACTTACAAATATTAGTACAAATCATACCGGTGGAAAAACAAAATTCATTCTTTAATTTCATATTCAATTCAAGATTAGATTCGAAAGTCCAAAATAGAATAAAACAAACTTCAATTCCTAGAACTATTGAAGAATTGATTTATGCCTTGAAGGGTGCATATAAATTGGTTAAGAATTCTAATAGCATTTTGAATGTTTTGGAGTTGCAACGTTTAACGTACAACTAAAGTGACCAATAACTTAAGATATACCCTCTATATGGAGGAATCAGAGAATGAATTACAAAAACCAAGTCCACCAGTCAAAATTAATGAAACATCTGAACCCTGAAGTAAAGACTATATTAGGAACAAGCCCAGAAGAATTTAAAAAAGAGGACAACAAAATCAAAGGAAGAGGATCCAGAGCTGCCAGTAAAGAAGAAGTTATTGCACAATAGATCATCGTATGCAGCACAACAACAAGAATAATTACATAAACCAATCACATAATATACGAATGATCGAAGTTCTGGGAAACTACCAAGGCTCGGAATACAACGATATTCTAGACAGCCAAAATTAAGAGTATATAAAATATCAGACCAAAATACTAAACTTTATAGTACTAAAACATAAGAGCCACGATTTAACATTTTAAGTAGATACTGGCACAGATATTTCAATATATAAAGTAACAAAGCAACTTAATAACGAAGAATACTGCACTGATGAGAAATACAAACTAACGGGTATTTCAAAAGAAGAAATTTACTCAATGGGAACCATCAATTCAAAAATTATCGATCGGTAACAATACCTATACACACAAATTCCAATTAGTCGACAACAATTTTCCAATCGAAGCAGATGGAAACGATGATGAGAATATAATAACTTTAACCATGCATTCAAATGACGTTTTCAAGAATATTTTTAATGGAATACGAGTCCATACATACATATGTATATGATTTATAACTTATGATATTTATGTATATAAACATATCAATTAAGCACTTCTTAGTATTTTGAGAAGTTGTTATTGAACTTCTTTAGCAAAACTTACGTCAAAACTAAATTTCTTATTCCTCGAACTTGATTAGAACATTTGGATGATTTGATGTTAATAATGAGAACAAATTACTGGATTTGTAGAGGATGAGAATGATGATGTGCATGCTGTAGCTGATGCTGTTATACTTAACATATGATGCTGTAACATTTGACATGTGATGTTTCTGATGCTGTGACATTTAGCATATTATAGTTTGTGCCTGTGAAGTATAGGAAATTATGCGACAGAAGGTGGGAGTAGAGGTGACTGGAGCGTTGGCTAAAGGTAAATAATAACGTTGATCATATGTAAAAGTGGCTGAGGCATCTGTGTGTGTTACTCCTGCCGAGAAGAGTGGAGTGAGCGAGGTTATGGATGCTGTATAATGGCTGGAGAACTGTCAGTGCGTGAATGTCGTGGTATTAGTTGAGAGGGCTATGAGCATTGAGGAATTGTTAGGTCAATTTCAGGCTGCAGCTGAGCAGAAGCAAGAATGGCGTAAAAACTATTGGATTTATGGACTTTATTCGGTAAACCTATCATGTGGTAAATGATAGGTATGACACTTTCATGGATATTTTTTGTCCTACCAGATTAGCTTGAGTTTTTTGAGCAATTATCTTGAAAGAGCCTATTAGCCCCACTATTCGAATCATGTACATCATTATCCAAATCGAGCTTTGTAAAAGTTGTCTGGAAATGTTGAATGGAACATTTGGGTGAAATGAGTAGACTTGACACCACTTCCATTTTGCCTATGCTGCTGTTTAATAACTTCCTGCAAAGATATAGAGTGTGGTAGATTGTGGGTAACTTGTAGTTGAACTAAATCAGTACCTTTAGGGTCTATTGTATCGCATTTTGGGAGTCCTTTATCCCATCAGTCATTGCTAGAAGTGTGTATATTATTTAAGCGTTTTTTGGTTTCTCTATTAATTACCTCTAGTTCTTGTAAACGTGGCGATAAAACTTGTAGTGTGCCCAATTTATCGGTTCTAAAGATAAATTTGTTTTGTACCCTTTTCTCATCGGAAACGGCAAAAGTTTCTGCTCTTTTGAGCAGAGTAGATGAGTAGATGGCGCTCTTGTTGATCTACACGGAGCAATAATGCCTATGCATTGTGGTCCATATTAAGTTACACGTAGTCTGCAATAAAAAGAAGTATAAGAATTTATTAGATTTAGTAGGAAGAAAATAAAATGCTTAATTCATTTATAACCTTCTTTAGAAATGAATTTTTTTACAAACTAATAGAAAACATAGACTAAACTATATACTAGACTTTAGTCTAAACTATAGACTAGACTTTAGTCTATACTATAGTCTAGTCTACACTATACTAGTCTATACTATACTAATCTATTCTATACTATACTAGACTATAGTCCAGTCTATAGTCTAGTCTATAGTCTAGTCTATAGTCTAGTCTATAGTCTAGTCTATAGTCTAGTCTATAGTCTAGTCTATAGTCTAGTCTATAGTCTAGTCTATAGTCTAGTCTATAGTCTAGTCTATAGTCTAGTCTATAGTCTAGTCTATAGTCTAGTCTATAGTCTAGTCTATAGTCTAGTCTATAGTCTAGTCTATAGTCTAGTCTATAGTCTAGTCTATAGTCTAGTCTATAGTCTAGTCTATAGTCTAGTCTATGTCTAGTCTATAGTCTAGTCTATAGTCTAGTCTATAGTCTAGTCTATAGTCTAGTCTATAGTCTAGTCTATAGTCTAGTCTATAGTCTAGTCTATAGTCTAGTCTATAGTCTAGTCTATAGTCTAGTCTATAGTCTAGTCTATAGTCTAGTCTATAGTCTAGTCTATAGTCTAGTCTATAGTCTAGTCTATAGTCTAGTCTATAGTCTAGTCTATAGTCTAGTCTATAGTCTAGTCTATAGTCTAGTCTATAGTCTAGTCTATAGTCTAGTCTATAGTCTAGTCTATAGTCTAGTCTATAGTCTAGTCTATAGTCTAGTCTATAGTCTAGTCTATAGTCTAGTCTATAGTCTAGTCTATAGTCTAGTCTATAGTCTAGTCTATAGTCTAGTCTATAGTCTAGTCTATAGTCTAGTCTATAGTCTAGTCTATAGTCTAGTCTATAGTCTAGTCTATAGTCTAGTCTATAGTCTAGTCTATAGTCCTAGTCTATAGTCTAGTCTATAGTCTAGTCTATAGTCTAGTCTATAGTCTAGTCTATAGTCTAGTCTATAGTCTAGTCTATAGTCTAGTCTATAGTCTAGTCTATAGTCTAGTCTATAGTCTAGTCTATAGTCTAGTCTATAGTCTAGTCTATAGTCTAGTCTATAGTCTAGTCTATAGTCTAGTCTATAGTCTAGTCTATAGTCTAGTCTATAGTCTAGTCTATAGTCTAGTCTATAGTCTAGTCTATAGTCTAGTCTATAGTCTAGTCTATAGTCTAGTCTATAGTCTAGTCTATAGTCTAGTCTATAGTCTAGTCTATAGTCTAGTCTATAGTCTAGTCTAGTCTAGTCTATAGTCTAGTCTATAGTCTAGTCTATAGTCTAGTCTATAGTCTAGTTTTTAGTCTAGTCTATAGTCTAGTCTATAGTCTAGTCTATAGTCTAGTCTATAGTCTACTCTATAGTCTAGTCTATATTTAATAAGAAACTTAAGATTATATAAAATAACATAAGTATTAATCTGTCTTGCGATATTTTACGATTTTTTTAATGGACTCTAAGAATTTTTGGTAATTATTCTTTACCCTTAAAATATCAAATTTTCTTCTTGTTATTTTAATTAAAACTTAAATCGCGTAAATCGCTTATTTGAGCAAATATATACATGTGTATGTACATATATACATTGTACATATGTTATACATATATGTGTAATTTATTTGCCGACTGGAAACATTCACTGCAAATTATAAACAAAGGCTTTAATTGTTGTGTTTGTCAAAAATGCCTAAAATTTATAGATCATAATTTTAAAATAATGGCTCACAATATATGTAAATTAAAACCAGAATAAAATTTAAGAAACTATAGAGTGCAAGTAAATTGTGCTTTTGCTTTATTTTAGGTTATTGCCCTTACAATTTAAAAAGTGTTTTGACACTTTATAAGTAATTTGAGGCATAAAGGGTCAAAATAAGTTGAGCGGTCTTTGTTTGTTACAAAATATGAAAAGCGGGAAAAGACATTTTTGAAATTGTATACATATGACTACAATATTTAGGAAATTTTAAAGTGGTTTTTAACAATGTTTCAAATATCAGCAATGGGGAAAATTAACCCACATGTGGCAAATGTGTGAAGTTGCGACTTATTAGATGACAACCAATTTGATATTTATCTGTTATGGGTTTTTTGAATGAAAATTTCAAACTGAATGGGAAATACCCATAAAATAATATAAACATATTTATTAGTTAAACCTTTAAATGTACAACAGGTAGAAAATTCTTTTATTTTATACCTAGTTCTAGAGCGAAAGATATTCAACATGAGAAAATCAATCATGAGAAAATACGAATTTGATGAAAAATTCCTACACAGACTATCGACTTTTTATTTTAATCACAGGAGTAGAATGGAACGACTCCTCATATGTATGTGACTTCTAAACGTAATTTTTAACTCGAAAGTTTTATATAGAGCTGACTATAGTCTAGACTATAGTCTAAGCTATAGAGCTGACTATAGTCTAAGCTATAGAGCTGACTATAGTCTAGACTATAGAGCTGACTATAATATAGAGCTGACTATAGTATAGACTATAGAGCTGACTATAATATAGAGCTGACTATAGTCTAGACTATAGAGCTGACTATAGTCTAGACTATAGAGCTGACTATAGTCTAGCCTATAGAGCTGAGTATAACCTAGCCTATAGAGCTGACTATAGTCTAGCCTATAGAGCTGACTATAGTCTAGCCCATAGAGCTGACTATGGTCTAGCCTATAGAGCTGACTATAGTCTAGCCTATAGAGCTGACTATAGTCTAGCCTATAGAGCTGACTATAGTCTAGCCTATAGAGCTGACTACAGTCTAGATTATAGAGCTGACTATAGTCTAGACTATAGAGCTGACTATAGAACTGACTATAGTCTAGACTATAGAGCTGACTATAGTCTAGACTATAGAACTGACTATAGTCTAGACTATAGAGCTGACTATAGAACTGACTATAGTCTAGACTATAGATCTGACCACAGTCTAGACTATAGAGCTGACTATAGTCTAGACTATAGAGCTGACCACAGTCTAGACTATAGAGCTGACCACAGTCTAGACTATAGAGCTGACTATAGTCTAGATTATAGGGCTGACTATAGTCTAGACTATAGAGCTGACTTTAGTCTAGACTATAGAGCTGACTATAGTCTAGATTATAGGGCTGACTATAGTCTAGACTATAGAGCTGACTATAGTCTAGATTATAGGGCTCACTATAGTCTAGACTATAGAGCTGAGTATAGTCTAGACTATAGAGCTGACTTTAGTCTAGACTATAGAGCTGACTATTTAAATCTTTCAATTAAGTTTTTTAAGGATTTTTGTTTTATTAAATAAGAACTTTCACAATCTCATATTTTAAATTAAACCTAAACTTACCTCTTTAAAATACATTTTTGTAAACATTTTATTCACTCGAATAATTTAAAATTATTTTTTAAAAAATTTAACGTTTGTTATTGCAATTAAAAGATTGTTTATTTTCACAAAAACTTTAAATAAATATTTGTATTTTAAAAATTCTCATGATTATAATTTTTGATTACTCTTAAATTTTTTTTGCCAATCTTCATGTTAAACTAATTTTTAAGGAACTTAGACAAATACGTCTTTTGTCTTCAAAGTAAAATGTTAAACTGTGTATTCATTTTGAAGTTCGCAGCCTGCTCAACTGATAAGTGGCTGACTTCATTTACATATGTTGAATTCAGATACATATTTAGTATATTACACATGCCTATGTATGTATATACAATGTATATTATACATACATATTTATGTACATTGTACACACATTTTGTTTACAGTACAAATTAAATAGATATGTATTGGTAAATAATATACAAACATTTGTTTTTAAGTTTTTACCCTGCAGTTATCATTGGGACAATGTCACCATTCTTAGGCAGTATTTAATTTTGCATATGTACATATGTACGTATATAGCATAGAATAATCAAAAATATTCGAATTTTAATAATACGACTATAAGAAACAGATACAGACTTACTTCAGGGTCATTGGTATTTTGACTCTTTCCAAAATATATGGACATTTATGTTTCCACTCATTTTTTATGGACAATAGAAGTGATAACAGATTGTAAGATAAATGGACTTTTACGTTTTCACTCAAAAAATGGATTATCATTGTTTTGGCTCTATCTCTTCTAGTTTCGAAGATAAATGAACTTTCATGTTGTCACTCAAAAATTGTCATTTTTAGTGGGAAATAGAAGTGATTACAGATTATCACTGTTTTGGCTCTAACTCTTCTAGTTTCCAAGATTAATGGACTTTTATGTTTTCAGTCAAAAAATTGATTTTTCTTGGGAAATAGAAGTGATCACAGATTATTATTGTTTTTCCTCTATCTCTTCTAGTTTCCAAAATAAATGGACTTTTATGTTTTCACTCAAAAAATGGATTTTTCTTGGGAAATAGAAGTGATCACAGATTATCATTGTTTTAGCTCTATCTGTTCTAGTTTCCAAAATAAATGGACTTTTATGTTTTCACTCATAAAATGGATATTTCTTTAGAAATAGAAGAAACCACAGATTACCATTGTTTTGGCTCTATCTCTTCTAGTTTCCAAAATAAATGGACTTTTATGTTTTCACTCAAAAAATGGATTTTTCTTTAGAAATAGATGTGACCACAGATTATCATTGTTTTGGGTGTATCTCTTCTAGTTTCCTAGATAAATGGACTTTTATGTTTTCACTCAAAAAATGGATTTTTCTTTAGAAATAGATGTGACCACAGATTATCATTGTTTTGGCTCTATATCTTCTAGTTTCCAAGATAAATGGACCTTTATGTTTTCACTCATAAAATGGATTTTTCTTTAGAAATAGAAGTGATCAAAGATTATCATTGTTTTGGCTCTATCTCTTCTAGTTTCCAAAATAATTGGACATTTATGTTTTTACTCAAAATATCCCCTTTATTTCGACATTGATAAGTGTTCTATTCTAAGCTGTTCCGAAACTTAATCGGCTTTGGTGGTGTCCGAAGTATTTTGAATCTTATATATACCGATGGTCTGAAAAGGAGTGCTCTTTCGAAATTCTCCAAAACTGAATTTCGTTACATCCAATACTTCCTCTCTGATTCAATTGATGAAGGTAGTTCACCTAAGTTCAATGTGATCATGTCTTTAGTATTAAATCTATTAGGGCTTGTCCCCTGCGATTGGTGTTTGTGCTGCCCCTAAGTTACGTGGTGATAGTTGGCATCACAACCTATTACTAATTTCTTACATTTCTTTTCTGTTTCTTCAACCAGTTTTATCAGATACGACATTGGTGTAGTGTAGGAGAATTAAAGGGCAAGAAAAAACATAAGTTCTTGCGACATAAGATGCATGTTCTCGGGCGAGACCCCGTGTCAGCGTAGAAAAGTTGGAAAGTTTCTGAATAATAGAGAATGTCACAATCTGAGAACGTCAATATTTTATGATTCTTAAGAAGGTTAGGATCATGCTATAGGCATCCTATACGCATTGTGAACGGAAACGTGATTCAAAAGAACAAATGAACATTTTCGAGATGCTTTGGCACATTTCTCCCTTCGTGAAGATAAAAACTATCGAGAGTCTGAAAGGCTCGTTATACATTCTTCTAATCGCATGAGTCCGACTTATCACGCCATGGAGCATCAGAGAAATACATTGGAACATTCTATACAATGGGAAAATGAACAGTATCATGCCATCGAGCAGTAGAGAAATACGTTGGAACATTCTATATGTCGGGAAAATTAACTGTATTGTGAATGGAACGCGATTGCACATTCTTCTCATCGTATGGATCTGACATATCGTGTTATGAAGCAGCAGAGGAATACATTAGAACATTCTATTCATAGGGAAAAATCAAGGGTGTCGTGGAAAGGAACGGAAAAGAGACGCTATTGCACATATTTCTAATCCTATTTAAGGCGCGGCAGTACAAAGACGTAATACTATTGCTAGGCGAGAATCAAGGATGTTATCGAAAATTGGTATGGAAATCATTAATCAACTCAGTAATATTCGCATAAGATTACACCGAATAAATTCCTTAATAGATCGTCAAAATAGTAAGAAATGGAAATGTTTCGACTATATACTTAAGCAATAGTTTAAAGAAATGTTTAGAAGAAAGCCTTAAATAAAGGTTTTTGGCTCCCAGAATTCCATTTATGAGAATTGTTTCATTGAGATACAATCATCAGTGATAATGTAATAAGCGCAATTGTTAATATTTTTATACAAGTCGATAATACAGTAAATGTCCTTCCGAGAATATTTAATCAAACTGAAGTAATTCACCTAAAGCTTCATAAGGGAAACAATTCGTTCCGCTAAAGTTTTTGAAGCAATAACTTATTTAATAAATACAGAATTGGACAGAAAACATGAACTTTCCATTGCTGAGGATTAACTAGATAATAAAGAATTTTTACAAACGTTGAGGATCAGCAGTTAGTGCAAGATTTAGCAGGTTCAAATACTGACCTGGATGTAATTGAAGAATTAAATCCTCAGGAATCACAGCTTGGGCTATAATTCGACGCTACGATAGGATATTCGCTCGTATAGATAAGGTACTATATTCACATAAAAAACTTGAATTATATAAAATTAAAAATAGTATTTCAACATGTTTATACAAAAAGGTTGGATTCAATAGACATATAGCCAGGTATATATTCGGCGATATCCATATAAATAACGTGGTTCAACATGATGAAGGTTAACATATTCTAAAAGGCATTCGATTTTCTCCTGTAGTTCGGTTTCCTACATTGATTTCTGATTTAAGTAGGGGAAATTATTTCCGAACTCTTGTAATGCTATAAATGTCTTGGCAAGGTGAACACGATGATATCTTATGAAAAGTATAGGAAAGGAGAGCTCGAAGAAATTCTTCACCAAATTCAAAATGAGAACAGAGTAGATAAATGTGGATTATAATAACGCTAATGAGAAAAAACGTTGGACTGATCAGACTTCAACCTTTAATAAGTGTTGTTAGTTTATTATTATCCTCAGTACAGGACAAAACAATGTAATTTTGATAAATTTTAACTAAATGTTGTGGAAAACGTAATGTTTTATGTGGGAGGAGGACCCGGAATTGGAAAGAGTCGATTGATAAAAACAAATTACCAATATATTACTTATAGATATAATTCCATTCCTGGTTCTAATCCTGATTTACTCAAAATCCCGCTTAAAACTGGTGGAGCGACTATTTATTCACTATTTTCATTGCCAGTCAATCAGTACTCAGAAGAAATTCTTCCTCTTAATAATGATAGAGTCAACTCACATTCATCTTTACTATGGGAGTTGAAATTATTGATAATTGATGAAATTTAAATGGTTGGAGCAAGAATGCTGGATTATCTTGATGCACGATTAAAGCAAATTTTTAAAAGTACAGAGAGATATGGTGGAATTTCGATTTTAGTGAGAGGAGTCATGATTTAACTTCCAGGAGCGCAGTGGTTAAGTCATCACTTGTAGAGGGGATTGTGAAGAGAATGAAGAGCGCATTTAAATCAAGGGTTATAACTCTTTCTTGTGCATATTGTAAGGAGGCCTAATATATTTCTATGTGGCATTTAAGAATGAGGTGCCTTACTTCTTTAAAATGAATGACACTCTTAAGTTGAATGTCTTATATGCTAAACCAAATTTAGATGATTTGGAAAATACACCATTGGAAATAAAAGTCTTCTAAACGAAAATGGTGGAAATTTACAACATAATAGATTTTGGAAGAGAAATAA